CGGCAGGGTTGATTGGTTAAATAACAATCAGATAGGGGCATGTAATATTACACCGAAAGGCCCATATATACTCTCAATCCAGTATGAAGAGTGGTAGGCGTTACCACACACTGTGTTTGATATGGGTCCTATGCACCATATACACCGCATGTCAAATATAATGTTTGTTTATATAAAATATAAACATGTGCCGTAACACTACTATTGCCATTTAATGTCACAATGTCGTCTGTAAACATTTGTATTTGTGTGAAAACAAAGAAGATGAACTGATCTGTCTGAGAAATGTAGTAACAAGAAAAATGCTCTGTGGATCATTAATTAATTTTTTGAGTGATGTTTCTCTGCGTATTAAAAAAGTTCAGGTCAGCAGGTGAAACAACCCCTCCACAATATAACATTTTTCAGTATAAATGACATGCACAACATCCCATGGAAACCACTCATTTGGATGCAAGCATACATGTACTGTATAATACTTTATTTTAGCTGGAATTAAATTTCGCTGAAAAGACATTTATTTCGCATGGATTTTATTTTTTCTGATTTTGAATGAGTTGAATGTGAAATATAGGAAAAAAGATACGTTCGCTGAATTTATTTTCAATGAATCATCCCTGAAAATAGTAAAAATTAATTCCATTCGAAAATAAAGTATTTTAATACAGTATCACACTGAAAAATATTTGAAGTAGAGCACAATGACTTTTTAATAAATCTATAGTGAAAAGAACATGGTACTGATAGTCCTGTAAACAATACATGTTCAGTATTGTTGAGCACTGGTTGTATGTGTAAGGATGTTTTCAATCACATAAATAAGATACACACCATACATGTACATCTCAAGTCTATTCCTAAGTCAATTTTATGATTATAATTTTAGATGCAAATTGATATACCCCGGTATATCTCTATCCTAATTGTAGCAGTCAATTTTTATGTGTATAGTTATATAGTTGTTTATATAAGGACCAAAATACCAAACCTACAAGTTTAAGTGAAACACACTTTCGTTGAGTTGAACAAGGGTCATTTAAGTAACACATATGTGCAAGAATCAATGAAATCACAAATTTTGTAGTAATGAAAATTTCTCAGGTGTCAGTGATTTTCGCAAAATATGTCTTCAAGAATGCCAAAAAATCACGAAAAAATACTAGCAGTGAAAAGAAAATGTTTTACAGTAGATGTCTGCTGTGTATAAACCATTTCCTAATATAAGAGTAAATCAGAAAATGCTGAAAAAAATTCAAAATGTACGCTTATAAATATTTATCTGAAATGCATACATGTATATGAGATGAAAAGGCAACAATTGTGTTATCTGTAACTATAAACCTTCACAGAATTACATATAACTTTCATCACGTTGGTTGGCAGATTAAGAATCAAGACCAAAGGCTAGTAACTTGCATGTACAGAGTCGGCACACACAAAGACCCAGTTATAACCTTTATTGTCCTAGTCAAAGTGAGTGTAAATAACTGTATTATTGTATCCTCCTGGCAATGCTTAAATGTTCTGAACATTAATAATACTTAGTAAAAGACAGGCAGAAACTATATATGTGTAATCAATCAATAGTTATTCTATTCTTTTGAGCTGTATTGTGGTCTGTTGCCAGGCCATATAACTATCTCGCCATTTACTGTGGAATAAAAAAACATTCCAAACTATAGCAATCGACCAAGACAATTACTTCTGCTAGTATAATGATGCACACTCACTGGTAGCATGCAAAAAGAATTGTAATGTTGATACGGCTTTGGCATTTGTACTTTTATTAGATATGGGAAAATGGACAGAAACTTGGGGTTGGACAATAGGTGAATACACCACACTGCAATTTAAAGCACACTGTATGAGTAACGAAACTTAAGCATACTTTTTAAGTTGAATTTAAGTGAAATTTAAAAAAAAAATGTTCACAATGCAATACACCTACGCACAATGTGTGCTCTGCACTGTAGGTAACATCATTGTTATGGCGTTGAGCTACTAAAAGGTATGGGATTTTTTATACACGGCTTCAGGCACGGAGTAATTGTATGTAACAGCTTTTTAATACTGGTTGATCTAGCTGTACCATGTGTACAATTTGAAACATATTATTTGAGTGCATGCTGAGGTTAAATTGAGTTGTTAACTCGCTATCACAGTAAATACGAATTTTTCGAGTACTATGCATCACCTGTCGGGCTGGTGACATTTCTGAATGCATGTGTGTATGCACTTTATACGGCAAGTGTATTTTCTCATCCACCCAAAACACAATTCAGGGTTCAAATGAAAATAATACTGCCATACAAAAAAACTGTTTTTGAAATGTTACGGTCACATTAACCCTCTACAAATAGTCACCCTTTTATGGTGCAACTCATCCGTGATATTGCTTTAGAAATGCAGAATGCGAAAAAACATCTGAACCAATTATTTTATGTTGATGATAGACTGAGATCTGACTTTATAATCTGACAAATCTGTGTTAGGGGAAATGAAGAACGCCACCAGCATGAATAATATCATGTATGTATCTAGTGAGCTATAAACTAAATAACCAAAAAAGTATACAGGGATGCCACTGAACACATAGTCTACATGCTTGTGATTATGCCTATCACAAGGAATGGCACTTGTTGTTAACAACCTTGGCATTTCATGTGAGAAATCAACAGTGTACAGTTTAATAATGTACGATCTTATCAATAGCAACAACCACCAACACTTCACCGTCGCTTGGTTTACAAGTTATCACTGGTTGTTAAAGCTCACTAAAAAATTATTCTTATCTCATATTGGTTTAACAAATCAATTAAAAACTGGTTTGCTGTACAATTATAAAAAAAAAGTTCATATAGTACTCGCACATTTCAGGTATAGCATTAAACAAGGTTTTGCAGGAAGAATTAAATGTCAACTTTTTGAATGCTTATATCAACAATAAGTATGTTCTCAAGTCAAGCAAACAATCCTGGATTACATCTTATATTCCTAGATACAAGTTCTACAGGATTTTCCAGAAGAATAGAAGTACTATGTAGATGTAAACAGTACCAGATTGCCATATTTGTTACATATACAAGTGGCAAATATTTACACAGACAGACATTAATCATATATGTTCAGCGGAAGATCACTGTTAGACTGACATTCCATTAAAATTATTCAATTGGTTGGGACAAATAAAGCCATTAGTTTTTTTACACCTTTTTAACAAAAAGCTTTGAATTTCTTGTTACCTCTACAACGACGTCACATTATAGCAAAATATCACAGAAGTTAATTACTGTAGTTAAACAAATTCCTGGCTTTATAGTTGAAAAACTAGGCAACAAGGAAAATGACTGTGTTAGTTAAATGCAAATGAAGGTAATTAGGTTATTTTTCTCAGATCAGGTACACAATGTCTAAAACTAAAATAGTCAATTAATTAAGATACCAAACCAATCATTGCGGGAGATCATCAGAGACACATGACGTATTTGCTCTCTTAGAAGCACACATAACCCAACAAATTTAAAAATAAATAAATAAATGCTGGTATAACGCATTATTGCCATTATTTTTCTTGCCACAAGTTTGAAGCAATATTTTTCAAAATTGTATGCTTTTTTCTGTAATTTATTTTGTCAATCGTTAAAGGGTTAATTAATAAATAGGCCAACAATTAAATTCTGCTCATTAATCCACAGAAGTAGATATTTGGAAGGTGAAAGGGGGTGTCTACTGAGATGATCAAATTAAGCCTTGGATAATCTGAGATTAATCTGACCTAACATTAACGTTATCTGGAATGACATAGATAAAATGATCACATGCTACCACACACGCATATGATGATTACATCAATCCCGCAGCTATTGTATTATAGCAGCTGTTACAAATTGAAATCCTTGTCTATATATTTGACATACAGGGCTTCAATATTCTGAGGCACCAAATTTCAAAGCCATAATTTCTGAAACTGTCTGAAATTTTAAAGGCAATAATTGACTATTTTCAAAGGAATCAAGGCATATGCCTCCACAAATTTCAAACCCTGCATGTTTATTAAACCCTATTTTTGCTCAATTTTCATTTGACAGTTAAATCAGCAAAAATAAAAACCTAGGGAAAATATAAAAAAAAAACTATTTACAAAATACGTTGAATTTCTGGTTTATGACAATTTTAAAAATAAAAAGTATAGCTCAGATACAAGACTATTGTGAAGGTCAAGATTCCCCATACATTACATATCTATATAGGATATAGGCTATCTTGGTTATCTCACTGACCTCTGAAAATACCCATCTAATATTAATTGACCGTATTTTGAAATGTTGATTTATTTTCAGGTATGGGTTATCCCCCCACAAGTTGTCCCACAAGTCAGCGTGATATTAAACAAAAAATTATATTTAGAGCATAGGAATCTTATTTTATCAATATATATATATACTGTGAATAATGTTGATTGAACATCAGCAAAACAGTAATATAACGAAGACTGTTGAGGGATGTATTAATACCAACCTTTAAAAATAAGATTTCCTCCTGATACTTTTTACATTTGTTCCTGCAATAAAATTAAGATATTTTCTTCAATATAAAATGTGGAGAGCAATTGATGTACATGATACATGTACTTACATGATACGGACATTGTGCTACAGGAAGTTATTAATTTTTCTCATAAATGAAATGATAAATTGTCAATTTGTATTAAACTTGACTGCATATATCTAACATTCCTGAACACACAGGACTTATGGTGTACTACCATAACCAGGGGAAAAAAAAGTATTGTTCACTGTTCTGGCACATCTTGCACGGACTTGGGGCATAGTCAAGGGTCAACTTCAATCAACCACCCTAGCTCAGTCCCTGACAAATATGCACACGAATATGAGAAACCGACGAGGTACCTTATTTTTGAAACGACAGTTTCACTATATATGCGAGAAACATGCTGACCCGCAATGTCACTGAAAGTTTCAAAGCTGTGACTGTGTCAAACAAGACCAGTTTTGTCGTCGATCGCTAACCATGCACGAGCAGTTCGGACGTCTTCTGTCGGCTGACACTCAGCCCGTTCGAAACTTCGACAACAACACAACATGTAAATGTGCAGGACGAGTAGCTTACCTGTATGAGTTTCACAGCATATGGATGGTAACATACAACACAAAAATCATACGTATTCCTTAAATTATTTCAACTTATCTTGAAATGTTATAAAAACATTGTTATATTAATGAACGTATCCATAACTGTCGGCCTGTCTTTCACAACATCAACATGGCGAGGTCCATAGTTAACATTAGCATTGCATTTTAAAATTAATGCGCGTGAATCTTGGTCGATTAACTGTACTTAACAGCAATAAATATTATGCTATTATTATTTGTAGTATCAGTATAATCAAAGTAGTATTTTTAGGGTGATTGATAAACTACAAAGCGAAAATATTAGTCATACGTGAGGAATTATTACCACTTTTGCGGAAGGAGATATTTGTTTTAGACAGTGTTGCGATCAAAACAATCGCTATAGAAGCCAACTGCGCAGACTGGATTCTGATTGGTTGTTGGTTGCCTGGTAAACTGATCAGTCTGTTATATGTTCACTCTCGCCGAAATAAAATAAGTGTTTCAAAAATCATGAATAAAAATAAATAGAAACATTATTAAGGATTGCAACTGCACAATTTTGAGCAAGAGGGACATACCCCAATAAGGTTTTCAATATACTGAAATATTCACTTAACTCTTGACCTAGAGCTAACCTTTTTGTAACATACTTTAAAGTCACGTGTTTTCTCGCATCGAAAACACGGTCTCATCGAGACTTTGCTACGTGTACTGCACATGCGTGTACAAGTGGTAAAGTCGATCAAAATGGCTGGACAACAAGACGTGGACGAGTTATTTGAAGTGAAAAATGCTTTTTACTTGGGTAGTTTTCAGCAGTGTATAACGGAAGTTCAAAATCTAAAGGTATTTAATGTTTGAGTTCACGTTCTTGTAAATTCAAAGTATCCTCAATTCACCTGAATGGAGAAATACGCTACCGGTTTCTCCTACTTCCGGTAAAATCGCGTGTCAGCTGTATTATACACTACTGAAGTTTATTTCCAGAATTCACTAAACAAACCGATGGAACTTGTCAACTTATATATTTTTTAAAAATTTTTAGCTCTTAGATAGATCTGTTCAATCGCCATATAATGAAATAATGTATGCACTTAATCTGATTTTATACAGTACCTTTGCATAATACATTACATGTACACGAACTACCCTACATGATGTACATGTATGGTGTGTATCTTATTTATATGATGGAGGTAAAAATAGAATAAATGCAGAGATGGCAAGAAAACTTAAATTTATTATGCTTGAAAAAGGTGTGATGTACCTAAAACTGGGTATTATTAATCCATAAGGAACTTCTGTACAAAGAGAATCACAGTGCGAGAGAGGAAGGGGGGAGATCACAGTCACTTGGGAGCTGAAAATTAATAAACACTAATTTAAAAAAAAAAATCTTCCGCTATGTGCATATAAATAAACAAGTTGTGAAACATGGCACCGAGTAAATCGACCACTGTCGGCTTCAAATGTAGATTTCTTACCTTAAAGTGCGAAACAAAAAGTTCAGAAGGGGGTTGGGTGTTACGTTAATAACCATTGTTCATAAATCGCTAACTTGGTTTTATTCAAAACTGCACAAATCCTGCGTTTTCTGGTGATATCCAACAATATTTCAGGCCCCAAGTGACTGTGGGGCAGATACAGGATCTCCTACAAGTAGTTTATAAATATACCCCGATTTAGTTGCAAGTATGAAGGGACTACTGTGTTTCCACCACATTTTGTATCAACCTCAGCCATAGCTGAGAATTCATTTACACTTGTTGTGACATTTATGACTTAAATAAATTATGTAAAGGTGTCGCATGGTTAAAATTAGTATGAAACTATGGCAAAATTTTGCATTGTTGAATGTGTTACTGGTACATTGTACAAAAATGTATGACAACAAATTTTTCTGGTAAAGCCCAACTGTTGCTCAGTGTCTGTTCAATAAGGATAGGACCCTTATACGCAACATACAACAATACAAATAGTTTGTTTAAACGATAATCTAACATTTGTATGACATCTGTAGTGTTTTATCATTGTCATCTATAATTAATGAGAGTGAGGCTATGCTGTTTAGATTAGATGTTGGGTAATTTGCGATTGGTCATTTTTGAGCTAGAAATTTTGTTCTAGTTAAAATTACAAACTGCTTGAAAGGCTCAATAGCATACTGTAAAATGACTAATTTTCACTTGGTTTAAATTTCGCTGATTTACCATTTCAGGCATATTCAGTGGGTTTTAAATTCACGGTTTTATCATTTAGATAATGTGTTCTATGCTAAATTTTACATATTTACTGAGTTTTAATCTAGCACAGTATCTAGTCAGCGTAATAAGCAAAAGTAAAACCCAGTGAATAATTAATCCTTTTACAGTAATACAAATTAAAAGCTTGCGGAGTACTTGGGTAGAAATGGTCAATGCTCGCCACATATAAATTAATATTTTCAATAATTCTCTCTTCTCTAGCCATCTAATAAGGATGTGAAGACAGAAGCAGATGTCTTTATGTACAGAGCGTATATATCACAGGTAATTTTATTTCTACAGTACCATAATATAGCAGTGTTCTCCCCAGAAAAATGTATCAGAGTGGCGGCTAATTTGCATATAATTTACATATCATTAGCATTTGTCTGAAGATAAAGAAAACAATAATGACAGGCTTGCATGGATGAAAATGTGTCTTTATTTTTTAACAAATTTATGTAGAAGATTAAATGAATCTGCTGCTGTGTGATTTCTATGTAATGTTGATTCTTCGGACTTTCATGGAAGCCCAGTGATCTGCAGCTTTTGAGAACGCCGTGATTTTCTTTGCTTCCCACTTTACACATGGCCTTCTTGTGCATCTCCGAGTGTGCGTGTTTATCGATAGCATATTTCGTAATAGTTATACATGGCATAGAATTCCATACCAAAGAACTATTTCTGGATGTTTTTAAGTTGAATTTTCCACATATGTGTCACAGCATTCCTAAAAGATAAGAAATAGGAGCGAATCAATACTTGTATTTAAAAAATATCGTCACGATCA